GGCGGGGGCCCCCTTCCCCCCGCGGTGGGCGCAGCCGCAGGGTGCGTGCAGCCAAACTGCTAGAAGGGAAAGGTCCTGCGTGGGGCTGAGGTGTCCCCTGGCCCTGCCAGGGAGGACATGCCCTGTCCTTCCCCTGTGGTGCACTGTCCTGGTGCCTGTCACACTGTGGCACAGCTCTTCCGTGGTGGCTCAGATCTGGCTGAGAGGAGGGAGGTGCAGAGTCGCCAGGGCACTGTGGAACACATCCCTCACAGCTCCCAGCAGCCGGAGGCGGGCAAACATCTGGTCGAAGAGATGAGGGAACGGCTCCTACAGGGAGAAAGGCAGTGACTTGGGGCTGGTGGCCCTATTTCCCCTCAACGGGCTGGCCATCGAGTCACCGCTACCTCTGCACCCTGCGTATGCAGCCCTGAGGGGCTGGGGGGGGGGCTCATTGGGGGTGTGGGGGGGGGGGCTGCATCACACCACTAAGCCCCCCAACTGCAATACAGCCCCAGGGAGGACTGCAGGGCTGCAACCCTCCAGGAAATAGCCCGGGACATCAGACTTACCCCCAGGATGTGGACCCGGTTGTAGTAGGAGCTGAAATCCATGCTGAGCTGGATCAGGAACTTGCACACCTGCAAGACAGAGAGCTTCTGCTGGCACGGCGGGGTCTGGCCCATCTTGGGCCCTTCCCCACCCCCAGCACAGCAGGAGCAGCCCCAGGGGTGGTGCAGTCTTTTCTCTTGGCACCGCCTATGCAGTGGGCAGCACCCTGCTGGCACATCCCTGGGCTGGGACTGCTGGAGCAGCACCCTTGGGTGCTCTGGGACTTACTGCCTCTGTGTTGGCTGTGATCCGGATCCCCTTGCTGGGTGGGGGCAGCTGTGCTGCCTGCTGCAGGACTTCAGGGAAGGGCAGGAGGTAGTGGAAGAGCAGGAGCCACTCACCCTGGGAAAGGATTATGTGTGTCGCAGAGGGCCAGATCCTCCTGGGCCAGCAGCAGCCATCACTGGAGCTGAGGGCACACAGGTCCCTGCATTCCCCTTCTCGGCACTCACCTCTTCCCGGAGGCAGGAGAAGTTCAGTTCTGATGGTGGTGGCAGAGGTGGGTACATGCCTGGAAAGAAGGTGGGAGACTGCTGCTGTGCCCAGACAAGTCCCTGTGGCTCGAGACATGAGGAACAGCCCAGCAGCGGCTGTGGGAGGGTCGTGGGGCTGGCGCTTACCCCGCTCCACAGCCCGCTGGTAGGTGTCGAAGAGCGTGGCCAGCCGGGCACAGTTGTACATCACAAAGGCACCGCTCTTGGTTCCCTTCGTGGAGATGCTGCTGTCCTCCAGGTCCAGGGTGATCTGAGGACCAGGAGAAATCTCAGTCCAGCCGCTCCAGTATTCACACGGCTCACCGGCCCCCACTC